AAAAAAAAAAACCAGAAAAACAAAAAACCAACAGAACAACAAGTGCCCTGTTTCTCAGAAATTTGCCTCCACAGGGCCCAAAGGAGGGAATTTCCAGGAAGCTGAAAATGATTGAATCCTTTAAGACAGCTGGGTTTGCCCCAGGCATTTTATGTATGTATTGAGGGCAGAAAAACTGTCTCTTCAAATGTTAAAAGCAGAATTTAGATTTAATCAGAGCAAGGTTGGTCAGTCCAGTGTCGTCACCAGCTTCCCAAGTGACACACCAACTAGGTATGTCTTCCCAGTGTTTTCTTCAATTATTTCACTGCAATAATAGTTTATGCAGCTGTTTACATCTGAAAACACTTTCAGAGCTACGATGAGCACTGAACAGCGACGACACGGAGACATTAACCCTACCTAAAGGCATCCTAGCAAGAACCGCTGTCACATAAGGAAGATCTGGGGAGTGCGGGGGGATTTCCCATTACTTTGTGAGTAGGTGCACAGCCTATACGTCACCTTGTAACAAGGCACTGCTATAGATCCCAACGCAGCAAGTGATGCTGCTTCTCAACAAGAAATTCCCCCTTTGGCTTGACACTCTGAACTCCGGCTTGCTAAGCTGCTATAAATATTTGATGCCAAACAGACTCGATTTCATTAGCATCTGCGATTGTTCAGTAACTACCGGCACGTACCTTCATTTACAGCAGCTCCAGAAAAGCCTTCACTTTGTTTTAATTTAACATACTTTTACCAAATGAGGACCAGCACATTTTTTTTTTCTGTGTTATTTTTAAATGTTCTGGGAAGAATTAATTATTATTTGAATCGATGTCCTTAGAAGCATTTGATTACCATCAGGGTTAGGACCGATACCTGACTGCAAACAGAGGGTAGAGGGAAAAATAGTGTCTCATCCCGTACCCACATGAACAGCGGAGAAAGGAAACAGGTTACGCTGCTCCTAGAGACCTTCCACAACTATTTACAGTAAAACAGCTTTTTTTTTTTCCCCCTAAACCTCCCCGCCTCCCAATGACCTTCCCCCTGGATTTCACAACTGGCAACTGCACAGCTATTATTCTGCGCTCCAGTCCAAGTACTCGGAGTCTTATTTAACCAACCACAGCTCGTTCAGCCTGAACAACCTCTGGGTTCTGGGAACCTCAGCCAAGTAGCTCAGAAGTAAAAACACCGACCTGCCCGCACCCACTGCGGAAAGGGAGAGCACCGACTCCAGCCCGCACGGGCACGAGATTACGGAGGAGTTGTAACGAGCGCACGGCCACGTACGATCCCTCTGTTTCGACGGTCTCTCGACAGGCTCTAAACACCTAGAAGGTGTCCCACTAGTGAAATATCAACCCAGAAACGCAGGTGCACAACCCAAGAGCTTCCTCTGCGGCAGCCCAGCATCCAGCCACGATCCTGCTCACGCGCTGCTGGCCCCAAGAAAAACTTGTGACCACCACACGTCCCTCAACATCAGCAAGCGGGCGAGCACAAATCTCTTCTGGACTGTATTAGATATCGAAGGAAACTGCTGCCCAAAACATTGCCAAATGAAAGCGGCTGGGGTTTCTCTTGTTTGCTGTAGCACCCACCCACTACATGTTACGGGTAAAATAAACAAGCGCGGGAATTCGCCTCCTCTCCTGTCACCCATCTAATTCCCAGCAGCAGCTTCACACAGCAACATTTAATATTACTTTTCTATCTGTCATTTCTCAACGCGCTTCTATTTTATTATTTGACAGGAAAAATGCTTTTGACTGGCTTAGCCTGTACAGAAGGGAACATATTCAGGTAGATAGCTGCTGTCGCTGCCAAGGCGTTCCCAAAGCCGGAATGAAAAGCATCGCTACCGCCAGGTGCCAGCTGCAGGGTTACAAGTATTTCCAGCCAGAGCCTTGGAGCTCCAGCTCTCCAACACTAACGCCCCACCGATAACAACCAAATCTACCTAAAGCTGGGCACGTAATCAGCACGAGCACTTAGTTTTGTCTAAATTGAATAGGGACGGGTTTGCTATTCAAACCAAATAAGCCACTCCTACTAAGAGCAATTAAAAGACCGATTTGGATTAAATTCGTGAATCTTTTCCGTGTGGAACTCGGAGGTGGACATCTCCGCTCCAGAAAGTCAGACATAGAAATCCAAATCAAAGTGCTGATGCTAGTGTAAAACCACAATCTGGATGGCACCTCCAGCTGATCCCAGAAGTTATTACTTCTAACAAAAATGATTTGAGAACCCAAATCCTGCATTACTCTTCTTCTGCAAATCACAACATCCCTAATATATGCCACTCAAAAGATTTTCTTTTACTCTTTCTTTCAGTTGATGACCTGCTGAAAGAAGCCAAAGTTGGACCAAATGGAACTATAAAATACGAAGAATTTGTTCACGCTGTTTGTCTTCCCACAGTTGACTACTGAAGTTGAAAACACGGGATTTGCCAAGAGCAAGACCTGAAGCTTTTTCGACTTCCATTTTTCCTAGTTACTACTTGGACTCAAGAACCATCGTTTGCCTTTAAAAATCCTTATTTTGCCTTGATGACAGTGCTTACACTTCCAGAGGTTCCCACCTCGTTTCTAGAGAAACCCCGTCACAAAACGTGAGCTGTTATTTAAATAAACTGAATGTAACATCCCCTTGTGTAAAATGTGTCATGCTTAAAAAAAAACCCAACTAATTTTAAAAATGCATTTAAGTCTACAGATTGCAGCATAAATGCTAACTTGTAGTTAAGTCGTGGTGACCGTGTTCCAAGATGTCAGTGTCACCCGTAATCATTTGCTGCTTCCACACACCCGAGCCCAGACGTGGTCGTGCAGATTCACGAGGAAGTTTATGTCACAATGGTGGTAAACCTAGTGTAACTATGCACAGCTCCCCTGTATTCCTTGGATCCACGGCACGATCCGGTAAGAACTCCCAACCAGGTGTTCCCGTCACAAAGCTGTCAGCTGCTGTTTTGTTCCTCCTCATCCTTCGCTCTTCCAGCGTGCAAGATCTCTGTATGGTTGTACTTCTGTCACGTTATTTATTAAGGCACAGTATCTTGCGACATCAAGCCTCCGTGCAGTCGAGCTGCCCCTGCATTTTGAGGCACACACTGAAAATGCTGTGCTTGGTAAATGTATCTGTCACCAAGTTCTGGGCTAGCTGCCCAGAACATACTCCTAGAGACAGCCTGGCAAGCAAAAACAGGGCCCACGAAAATTCAGCTTCTCCACAACAGGAAAACAACCACCCCATCCCTCGTGACTTTGATTAAAATCAACGTGACCCACAGCAACCGTTACTGATCCTATTCCATCTATATCTTGGCATGATTTTATTCCCTCTATCTCGGCTGCCTTAGCGAAGGTCCTCAGACTGGTATGAAATTCAGGACAATATACCACAGGTTCTCTCTGGAGTCAAGTGGAGACTTGCAGAGACCATCTCTGCACACTCAGCTCCACCAGCAAGCTGTGAAGTTCGGTGGAAGAGCACACGCTCCAGCCAGGTCTGCTGTGGCTTCTACCCACGGGAGCCCCCTTCCCCTCCTCCCACCCGTGCCTCTCCTTCCTTTCCTAATTCTGAATCTTTATCGCTGCAGCGACTAACTCACGCTCTGCTCAATTTGTGATGACCAGCACTTCAATCGCTGCAGACAGAAGGCATTTATCCCCTACTGAGGCACCCAGCACAGCCCGAACACCGCAGACTAACGCTACCACCAAAACCATCCCACATCACTGCAACACTTGGAGCCACCAGGACTGTAAGTAGCACAGACTCGGTTATAAACCGAAAAAACAAAGCACGAGCCAATCTTAACCCTTCCAAATCAAGAACAGTGTATCTAGAAGGCTAAGGTAGGGATTTTCCTCTTGGAATATTATTACACGGGGGTAAAAAAGCACAAGAGATGAAGTAACGTACTGAATGCTACGTGAGAAATGGAAGCGTCTTTCAGACAAACGGCAGTTTTGTGCTCAGCCTCCCCTGATCCAGAGCCAAGCTGCAGAGCCTGCAGCTCTCAGAAGACGGCAGTCCCGGACTAACCCAGTAAGCTCAGACTTGGGCTGTCATGCCAAGCTACTAACCTCTGCTCAGCAAAGGATCATGCTTCAAGGGGAAACAAACTGTGTAAACCTGGCATACCTTGTCATGCCTGTCTACAACATCCCTCAATTCTTGTATTAGCTCTTCCTACTCTACAGATAGAAAACAAAACCAAACCTCCCCTCGTTTCTCTGAAAATTAGAGCGTTATAAGCAGCTCACCACTCAGGTAACACTCCATTAAAACATTATACAGTGAAACAGAGATAGGGTTCCCTAAAAAAAAAAAAAAAAAAACCCAAGAAGGGGTTCCAATTAACAGCAAAAGCTAGGATTTGCCCTGTAACTCTCTCCCACCATTCAGAGTTAGTGTCTGGACACAAAGCCCACTATACCTTGATGCTGAGCCTTTGAGCACTGGTGCCGCTTGGAGGTCTGCCTGCGGCGTGGAGGTGGGTTTCTGCCCACGGAAGCTGTTCCAGACCTTTGCTACAGAAGTACCAGCGATGAAGGCAAGCAAAAACCTCAGCTGCTGTGAGCGTAATTAGCTTATCAAACACGGAGTTCATGTAAAAGCATTTGTTTCCAATATGCATCAATAGCCAAATTACAAATGATCCAATACACAGCTTAATTCTTCCCTATTGACCAGAAGAGTTGATTAACAAATCCTTTCAGCAGCAGACAACATAAAAGCTTGTATGTCATGGGGATTGATCAGCTCAAAATCACTTTGGATTACTCCAGAACGCATCTGTATGGGAACAGGCGGTTACCACCCTGGCTGGGTGGGTAAACATCACCCAAATAAAAGCTAGCAAAAAGGAACCGCACTTCACACGCGTTCCCAAAACAAAGCAGCATTGTCAGAGCCTGGAGAGACAAGTGTGAGAGGCTCCACGCCACAAAACATTTAGAAGCAAAAGATTCCTGATCAAAAGGGACCTTTGCAACTCTGAGTTCACAAAAAACACCCTCCTCCCGCCCTTCTCCCCCCC